TGCTTTTGCGGAAAAGCATCCGTGCCAATCTAGATGCTCTTTTCTGAAAATGCTTTTAATGGAAAACTTTTCCGTTAAAAACATTTCCAGAAAATCATGCCAGTCTAGACGTAGCCTTATTGTTTAGCCCAGACCTGAAGAAGAGCTTGGTGGAACTTGAAAGTTTGTCTCTTTCACAAACAGAAGTTGGTTCAAAAAACAATATTTCCTGACTGACCTGGTCTCCCTCATTTATTCAGGGGAGTAATCCTTTTGAAATCAGTGGGAATAGTCACATGGGTGAGGGTATGCAGGGTCAGACCCAAATCAGAGAACCTGGCAGCTTTACTGTGTGTGATGTTTTCTTCGGAGACTTTGAAAACTGAGATCCTATCTGCTTTGCACAAACAGTAAAGACCTTGTATCTCACTTTCCAAGAATGGGTGGGATGTCCTCTACCATAGCCAACTTCCACCTCTCTCACTAGGCACCAGATGCTTTATTGCATTTCAGTGCTGATTGATTAAGAAATTATATAAATAGTAAAGCTCTTGGGGATAAATACAGCTCTACAAATGTAAAACATAAGAAAATAAGCCCACTGTTTTCCTATTTTCATTTTAAACACAAGAATTTATTTATAGCTGTTTTTAATTAAAGTCAATTTAAATCTTCAGCTGTTAATTAAAACCCCGACTCACAGATTTTAGAGGAGGCAGGGATATCGCAGATTTGAACAGTCTAAAATACAGTAATAAGATTCCTGGTTCTCTTTTTTAATACAGGTTGAACCTCCCAAATCCAGGACTTTCTGGGCAGGCAATATCCATGGTCCAGCAGGGCCACAAATGTTGCTGGACCAAAGAGCCTCAGAGGCCGGAGCAACCCAGGGACTGGGGAACTCCAGCTGGGCCAAGCAGCATCTGGGGAGCCTTCCCCACTCTGGCCAGGGACCCCACAGCATCAACAGGACCAGACAGTGGCTGGAGAGCCCCCAGCATCAGTGTGGCCAGGCAATGGCCAAAGAGCCCCCGCCCAACGTCAGCAGAGCCAGAGGATGGCTGTGGAACCCCTAGCATCAGTGGGGTCATGGAGTAGCCAGGGAGTCCGGGCCCCAGCCAGGGAACCCTTGACTGCAGTGGGGGCTGCTGGCAGCTGGGTTGCTCCAGCCAGGAACCCCGGGAAATGCTTGGTGGCAACGGGGCCAGGAAACCCCTTGGCTGAAGTGGGGCTGATGGAGATGCCCATCCCTGGCTGGGGAACCAACAGAATCTCCATCAGCAGTGGAGCTGCCCCTAGCAGGGATGAGATGTCTGGGTGGTCCCGGCTAGGGAAATCCCAGTGGTAGCAGGGCTGCCAGCAGCCAGGTAGCCCCAGCAGGAGCCCTGGGGAACACCCTGTAGCAGTGGGACTAGCAGCAGCCAAGCAGTCCCCACCAGGAGACCTTGGGGCAGCAGGCAGGCAGCTGAATGGGGAGCTGTGCTGGGCCAGCGTTAGCGGGGCCAGCGGCAGGGCAGGGAGACCCAAAGAGAGGAGCCCAGCAGGGGCAGTCCACAGTGGAGCCTGACCTCCCTTAGTCCGGCAAACTCCCTGGTCCAGGACAGCTCAGGTCCCAAGGATGCCAGACCAGGGAGATACAACCTGTATCTCTTTATCCATTGTTGTGACAGCATAGTTCTTGAAATATTATTTAATATTTCAGTATATTGAGGTTTTTAACTATTGTAGAGAAGGTACATGATGATCAGTAATTTGAAATTTACATAGTGACTTAGGACCACAAGTCCTATTGACTATCTAAGGGTATGTCTACACTACCCTCCTAATTCGAACTAGGAGGGTAATGTAGGCATACTGCACTTGCAAATGAAGCCCGGGATTTGAATTTCCCGGGCTTCATTTGCATAAGCCGGGCGCCGCCATTTTTAAATCCCGACTAGTTCGAACCCCGTGCCGCGCGGCTACACGCGGCACGGAGTAGCTAGTTTGTATTAGGCTTCCTCGAGGAGTACAGCTAGTTCGGATTAGGAAGCCTAATCCGAACTAGCTACTCCGTGCCACGTGTAGCCGCGCGGCGGGATTTAAAAATGGCGGCACCCGGCTTATGCAAATGAAGCCCGGGAAATTCAAATCCCGGGCTTCATTTGCAAGTGCGGTATGCCTACATTACTCCGCTAGTTCGAACTAGCGGGGTAGTGTAGACATACCCTAAGTGATTTAGGTGCTTTTCAAAGTCCCATCCCCTTACTGACGAGGACACTCACTTGTGCCAGCCAAGTCTTCTATACCTAAAGACACAGGTTTATTTTTAGCTTTAAAGTTTAAACCATCTATCATCTACTCTTTTATAATACATGAAAGCAACATGATGTTTGATTACATGTGGGGAAAACTGGTTCACAAACTTGAACTAACTTTGTGAAAGCACCTCTGCTCATGTGAGGAAGTGGTTTTGCCCACAACAGCTCATGATACTATATATATATATATATATGTTATTGTCTAAGGTGCTACAGGACTACTCGTTTTTGTAAAGGCAGTACCACTTTAAAAAAAGCATAAGCTTTGATTATTCACAAACAGAGCTGGAAAAAGGGTGCGGAAATTGTCAGTGAATATTTGTTCAGGTTTCAAAGTGAACTGAAATTGATTTTTTACCTTCCACAAATATTCAATCCCCAGTGACAATTAAAAAGACAGATGTTGGAAGGACAGTCTGATCCTTCCTGCTCAGGACAAGCACATTGTCCAGTGCATGCTGGGGAAACCTTGCCCTACTGTATCTCTTCTACAGGCAGAGGACTGGAGTCTCTCAGGTTCTCAAGACTTGATCCAAAGCCCATTGAGATTATTGCTAACGCTCCCGTTGATGTCTATGTGCTTTGGGTCGTGCCCTAAGTCTAGTACTTTACTCACATACCACGTTCAAGATAATGATTTGTAAATCCTTTTAGTGTGTAATTTTTTTAAATGCATTTTGTGTGTTTCAGAGTTTCTGACATTTCCCAGCTGATTTAGGGCTAGACTCTGCTGTCACTTAAATCATTAGCAGAGCTCCCATTGATTTTAATACTGGCAGGATTTAGCCCTTAGTCAAGAAATGTCTCTTCTCCTTGTCCTGTCTACCAAAGATCTGGCTGGTTCCTCCCAGAGGGTGGAGTCTAAAAAGGGGGTGAGAGCGCTTTTCTCCCAGTGCCAGCCTGGGATATGCAGAGCACACTTCAGCTTTTGGATGGTGCAATCATTCCTATCACTTTGGGCAGCCACTGTTATTTCTTTCTCCAGTTTCTTTAATTTACCACACTAGGGCATTTGTCTATCCCAAAAACCCTTAATGCTTTTCTAATCATAAGACTTTTAATCTTCTATGAGGTGTTTTGCATGAGTCCTGGTGATCAGAATTATTTTACAATACAGCTTTTGGAGAAAATGGCTGTAAACATCCCTGGTCTGGTAGCCGTGATTGTGTTCTATGTGATAACATTGGCAACTGGGATTTGGGCTGCTTGGAAAATCAAAAAGGAAGAGAAAAATGCCAACCAAAGTGAGATTGCCATAGTGGGAGGCAGAAACATGAACGTTTTTGTGGGATTATTCACCACAACCGGTGAGTTTTTTTCTTAATATTATTTCCTGATCCAGTTTATAATCTATTTTAGATCAGTCAGGGTATGTCTACACTACCCCCTAATTCGAACTAGGGGGGTAGTGTAGACATACCCTCAGAGTTTAAGTTCTGTTTTGTATTCTCCTTATATAATTAACTTAAGAAACTGTTCTCAATCTGTATTTGGTTTCAATTTTTTGCCAAGAGGAACTGTTCTTCTATGTGCCTACTTTAATTTTATTGGCATTCTTGGTAGCACACGATATCATGTAAAAAATTCTCCCTCTTTCATCTCATTATATCCTGGAGGCAATGCCCCGTAGGGATTAAGGTTGGGGACTAAGTATCATGGTTTCTGTTCTTGACTCCATCACAGACCTGCTGTGTGATCTGGGGCAAATCCCTTCACCCATTTATGTCTTACTTTCCTGACCTGGGGAATGGGAACAATATCTTAGCTATCTTTGTGAAGTGTTTTGAGATCTTCACAAGAAAGCTGCAATGTGAATGAGTGTTACTATTCGTATAGTAACAAATGTCTGTTTGCCACTGAAACACACCTGCTTCCCCAACCCAAACTGTTGAACATGCTACTCAGTTCTCACACATAAGGCAGGGGACTGGACTTGATAACCTCTTGAGCTCCCTTCCAGTTCTAGTACTCTGATTCTATGAGGTAGCCATGTTAGTCTGAATTTGCAAAAGCGGTGAGGAGTCCTGTGGCACCTTATAGACTAAACGAAGTGTTGGAGCATAAGCTTTCATCGGCAAAGACCCACTTCGTCAGATGCATCTGATAAAGTAGGTCTTTGCCCACGAAAGCTTATGCTCCACCACTTTGGTTAGTCTATAAAGTGCCACAGGACTCCTCGCCACTTTTGTATGATTCTATGATGTCAACCAGACACTAGAAAAGCCACTTGACTGCACCTCCAGAGTTGGCCAGGATGGAGACATACTTAGTCATTTACATTCTGAAAGCACCTCAATCCTTTCCTCCTCACTAATCCTCCGACTGGTCCCATACTGGTTAAATAAGAGCAGCGCCATATCAGTGACCAACATACATTTCTTACCAAAGAATCTTCCTAATAGTTTAATAGTTCCTAAGTGCCTTGTTGACTAGTGATAGACTTGAGAGCTTTGCTGAACTGAGTGATATGCACTCAGCAGCTCTGAAAACCAGTCAGCCTATTTGGGTGCCTAGAATTAGTGGCCCACATTTTGAAAATTCATTCTGTGACATTATTGCCTTGAAGTTTTTCTACCTTTGCTTTTGTCTCATACACTCTCTCCTCTGGCAAGCAATATTATGAGGGCTCTAAAACAAAGGAAAACCATATGATTTCTTCTTTTTTTTCAATTTCCTCCTATTTTTTCCCCCAGCAACTTGGGTTGGAGGTGGCTAAGTAGGATACGTTCTCGCTTTTATCATTGGTAAAGACAATAATTTGATTCTTAAACATTTTAATTTCTTAGCAGTTTTTAAAACGGGCAAATGTAGCCTTCTTGTGCAGATACCAAGGTAACAGAAGTCTAACTCAACCAGTGGCATAGAAGTGGTTCTGAAAGTTGGCAAAAGCTGGTAGAGACTGGCACTGACTGGATTGTTCACATTAAAATAATTCTGATCTTCGAAGGAGCCTTCGAGGATCCTGGTAAACTCATAGTTTGGCTTAATGACAACCTGAAAGATTTTAGAAATGGGAGAATATTATTGTTGTTTAAATCACCAACATGTACTGTGATTGGTTAATTTTAATATAATAAGGTTGCTCCCCCTTCTTGGACACTGTTTATTTAGGGCGCTGGTCGGGGTGAATTTTATACCATTATGGTTGCCTCTTCCATCATTTCCTGGGGTTACCCGCAAACTATAGGGGCACCCAGCTTTATTCTGTTCCTAGAGCTCCAGGCATAACCTCATTAATTAAGACCTACACTCTTATCCATTCATGGGCTCAAGATGTAACCTAACACTCTGAAGGTTTGCAGGGTCTTTTCCCAGTCATATCCTTACCCTCTATTTATTAACAATCACCAAAACAGAATGCACATACTAAGCATCCAGTGCTCACCACTCTCGATGAGGCAGATGAGTTTTTCTTGCTGGCCAGTCAAGATCAAGTCATAAGGGAACTCCAGCCTCTATACAATATGATTGGCAGGGTTTGAGGGGGCTGCTCAGAGCTTGGGCTGTGCCCTGGAGTTGGTTCCAAAGAACTTCCTTTTGGACCAGTTTATTGAGTGAAACTTGAGGCCTGCTTAGTTGTACCTTAACCAATCATTTTACTGAAGTATTACAAAATAATTCTTTGACCAATCCTAACATATTGTGAAACAATTCTTTACCCAATCATGACTCACCACTTTAGCTAATTTACACCTTGCAAAATTACTTATGGGGCAGACAGAAACCATGCAGATAAATAACAGGAGCATGGACTATATAGGCAAAGCAATAGAGATTTCACAACCATAACTGTTAAGTGATTCTTTGCCACATGGAATACTATTAAACAGTTTTCTTTAAATATCTTAACTGTTTCTTTATCTGGTGATAACAGGTACTATTAGGACAGGGTCTCACTCTCAAAAGCCCAATATGACATTATGTTAATGTAATTTAGAAGGAACATGAGGATGTGACGTTCTCTTCCTGGCTTGTGGCAGCTATTCTCCTGTTAGGGCTGCAAAAAAAAAAAACCCCCTCAGATCTTACTCTGGGGCCTCGGGATCTACCCTGATACATTGGGATATGTCTACACTACCCTCCTAATTCGAGGAGTAACGGTAGTTACTAGGAAGCCTAGTTCGAATTACCTAGTTCGTGCCCCGTGTAGCCACGCGGCACAGGGTTCGAACGAGCGGGGATTTAAAAATGGCGGAGCCCCGCTTATGCAAATGAAGCCCGGGAAATTCAAATCCCGGGCTTCATTTGCAATTGCGGTATGCCTACATTACCCTCCTATTTCAAATTAGGAGGGTAGTGTAGACATACCCTTGGGCTGTCATCCTGATCCTAAAAGGAAGCCAGAGGAGACATGACCAGAGAAAAAACTAGATGAAATTACCACCTCTACCAGCTTTGTCTAAATCCAGAACAAACTGGGTTTTGAGATCTGTGTTCCTGCTATTGTCCACCTTCTTCATATATTATTTGCCCTCTCTATCTTGTCTCTTCTCTGGACTATCTTTCTCATTCTACCATCAGTTGAATAAGAGTCTGGCTTAGCCAGCCAAAACAGCTCTACCCACTGATGTGTGCCTGTAACCAGAGAAGTACCTAACACAATGGTCTTAGTCTGCCTGATGTAGGTGTAAGTGTGCCTGGTCTCAAGGTGACAGATAAGACCATGTGTTGGAGCGGTGTTAATCTAGAAGGGAAGTTTCTTTGTTATTCTTGTCTCTCTCCTTTTGTGTGAGTTTATCTGGTACATGGTATGTATCTTTCGGTGTTGTAGCTGCTTTTCCTTCTTTATCTATGTTTTTAATAAAAGATTGAAAGATGGTGCTTTGGTGTGGTCCTTTCCAGGGGCCCACCACCTAACCATATCCATTCCAGTTCCTTCCTTTAATGCACTAAACATTAAAAAGGCCGTAGATCAGTTTTTAAACTAAGAGATGGGGGAAAGCTGATTGATGTGGAGATGCACGTAAATCGGATGGAGACTTCTCTTAGAGAAGAATCCATTGATAGAGATTCTCTAAGCTGTAGTCAGAAAGAGAGGAGGGGAGAGGACAAACCATGGGCCAGAGCAGACAAACAACTGCATATAAAGGAATCCAATGCATCAGGGAAGAGCAGACAAATAAGCAGTGGCAAATTTTTAAAGTGCTTCTACACAAATGCTAGGAGTCTGACTAATAAGATGGGTGAACTAGAGTA